CACCAGCTGCTGGATCAGCCAAACCCTTCCATGGGATTATGGAGAGGGTACAGGCAGGACCATCCCATAACCTCAATGAGCAGATCCATGTTTTTGGATAATGCCTATGGATTCCTGTGGAGCCTCCAGCATTTCGAGACACCAAATTCCCACACCACACACTCGTTCAGAGTTTTAGGGAGGGACCATCGTGAACCTCAAGCTGGATTATCCAGGAGACCTCCTTGGATTCCTTTTGGCTGGAGCCAGAGCAGATCCATGTTCCAGCATTTCCATGACAGAGATTTCTCCACCACAACCATTGGAAAGTCGTTCCCATGGTCTGTTATCCTGCCTGGGAAAACCAGGAATTCCCTGAGCTGCTGAGCCAGCAGGGGCTGATCTGACACGGCTTTGTCTCCTGTGGTTGGATTCCTCCTCCTTTGAGGAGGTGCGAGCTCGTTTGGAACTGCTCTCCATAAAAAAAGCAGGGAAGGTTGTGCCACACCCTTTCCACCACTGAAATATGAGTGAAAATTCTCTCCCACATCCATTTCCCTGTTTTCATGAGGTTTGTGGGAATTTTACATCCCTGCAACCCCAATCCCTGAGTTCTATTTGGCTGAAATTTCCTGATTGGCACAGGAATTATAAAGGAGGAACGGACAGACTGACGGGCAGGGAAGGACAGAGCCTGGGGGCATTTAATTCCTTGGAAACCATCAGAAAAGGAAAAAGCAAGCAGAATTTATGCCTCTATAGGTGTTTTTCCAGCTTTAAAGCCTCCAAAGTGGGATTTTGTTCTGCATTTGTCGGCAAAATTAATTATGTCCAACATTATCACACCCAGGAGGGAAACTCCGATTTCCCCAAATGTGCTAAATTTGAAAAGAAATCCAGACAAAAGAATCACATCCAAATTAGCAGAAAGTGGAGAGATTTTAAACCCCTCAGCCTCCAGAATCTCATCCAGAAAATGCAGGACTTAGTCCAGCAACGTGGGAATGGCAGAAGCCGCCAAGTGAACAATACGAACCCACAGAAATTAAACAGACACAACCCATGGAATATTTCTGCATAATAAACAGCTGGATTTGCAAATTGCCAGGGCACAGGCACAGCCTCCTGGAGAAACCTTATTTTTCCAAGGATGAGCCTCAGTTGGGCTCTTTCTCCTCTGCTAATTGGCCTTCAAATGAAATGCGATGGGGCCACTGGAATGAATTTAATTGAACCATCTGGACTTTCTTCTCCAGCCTCTTGTTCATTTCCAAAGATGCGGTCTCGTTTCTTCCAAGGAATTGCTGGAGCCAGGTGGAGAATTTCCACCAAAGGGATGAGATCCAGCCCCACCCCAAACCCCAAAAATCTCACCTAATGGCACGAATGAGCACATCCACCTCGGAAAATTTCCTGCTCTTTGTGTGTCTGGTGCTCTTCTCACCCACACTGAGCATCTTCCAAGGCCTCCTGATTTGGGAGGCCAGGAGGAAGAGCCTGATTCCAACCCTCTGGACCATGGAGAGATTCCACTCGTGGATGAGTGGAAAGGGAGATGGGATTTGGGGGAGTGCATGAGCTCTTTGTCATGGATTTCACCAGGAGACTGAGCAATGGAGAACCCCAAATAAAGAGAGCGGAGGAAAGAGGGTAATTAATGAATTCATTAATTAGGACATAATTGAATTCACTTGGTGCAGATAATTAACTCTGATAACGCCTTCTCCAGCTCTGGAGAGCTCCTCTGGGATGATGGGATAATGCCACTTGGATCCTTCCTTTCCCCTCTGGCTCCTGGGTGGGGGTTGGAATAATCCACCCTCAGTGGTTAAAGATCCAATCAAAGCTGGGCTGGTTTCTCTTCCCTTCCCACCTCAGGCTTCCCAAGCTTTTACCAGCTCAGAAATAATGGGATGACCCTGAAACATTCCTGGGAATAGCTTTGGTCTGGCCACAGACCCAAAATTCCATCTCTTCCCACTGGAGATGCTTGGTAAGGATGTGTTACGATCCCTGAGGGTTTCCAGGATCACCTGGGCTGGAAATATTGCCTTGAATGTTGGTTTCGTTGATGATTTTGGGGTCTTTTCCCTGAAAATGTGGGAGTTTTCTCTCCTTGAAGTCACTCACAAACCCTTCTGCCATATTCAGCTGCCAAAATTCCAGGCAGGACAAAAACCCCTCAAAGTGGGCATGTAGGGACTATTATAGGGCAGGAATTTTGATAACAGGAAGAGGAGGAGGAGGAAATCCTGGATCAGCTCTTCCCAAGGACCCAAAGGCCTCCCAGCCCCTCGCCCATCCCATACTCACCACGATAGCTGCCAGGATGGGCACCTGAATAATCCACTTCAAATTGCCAGCACTCAAGTCCCAACACCTGAGGAGAGATGGACATCCTGTCAGGAAAGCGCTGGAAGAGCAATGGACTCCAGAGTTCCCTTGGAAAAACCCCCCTGGAAGGATGAGTTCCTCCAAAGCCTGGTGGAGGGACCTTGCTCTAACCCTGCCTGCACTCAGTGAGATTTTGGGAATATCCCTTTTCCTGCTGTTATGCTACTGAAAAATGAGAATATTCCTATGGTTGGGATGGCTCTGCTCTCCAAAATGTGAAGTTCCTTCCAGCTCTTTCCACACCCATCCAGACTCATCCCTTCAGGGCAGGAACGGATCCTTTTCCACTTCTTCACTTCCTCACCAGAAAAAAAAATCCCTCCATTAAAAGTAATCCGGGTTTCATGAACACAGGAGAGGCTGAACTGATGTGGGATCACAGAATCCTCACATGGGTTGGGTTGGAAGGGAACTTAAAGGTGATTTAATTCCAAACCATGGGAGAGAGGTTGCTCCAAGCCCTGTCCAACCTGGCCTTGGACATTTCCAAAGATGAGGCAGCCACAGCTTCTCTGGGTGACCTGTGCCAGGGCTCCCCCACCCTCACAGGGAAGAATTTTTCCCAATATCCCACTTATCCTTGACCTCTGGCAGTGGGAAGCCATTCCCTGTGTCCTGTCCCTCCAGTTCCTGATGAATAATCCCTTCAGTTTCCCTGTAGGCCTCTTCAATCCTGGAAATGTCCCTGATCATGGCAGGGGGTTGGATTAGGTGACCTTTAAAGGTCTTCTCCAACCCAACCACTCCATGATTCCCCCTTGGAATAAACCTGCACAACTTCCCATGGGGACAGGTGGCGATGGGGACAGTGCTGGGGTTCCACACTCACTTCCTGGGGGTTTCCTTCAACCAAAATCCCCCAAAATCTTTAATCTCCATCCACCTTCAGTCCTTATTCCCAGTGAGGACTGGGAGGGCTGGTTGGTGATGTGGATGTTGGGATGTTGGGATATTGGGATGTTGGGATGCAATCCTCTATCTGCCAAGGAGGGATGGGCTCCATTGGCTCCCAGGAGTTTCCAGCAGCCACTGGAAAAGCCGACTCTGTTAATTATTCTGTCGGAATTCTCTCCATCCCTGGAGGAAGGAATGCCACAGCTTCTCCTTATCTGATCCAGGTAACCCCCACATGGCCCTGGCAGTTTTCCCAGACCGGCTCCTCAGGGAAGGCGAGGCTGGAAAGCCACCAGTGCTCCCTGGAACCTCTGTGAGGATGAGCTGGTGTTACGGATGTGTCACCCTTCAGCAGCTCTGCTGGTCCACCCACCCAAGCCTGGAGCTGAAATCCCTTTGGAAAGCAGTGCCTTCCCAGGCAGAGCCATTTGGGAATGCCCAGGGACCCTCATGGATGGAGGATCCTGGGGACATGGGAACGCCTGTGCGGTCAAGCCTGTGAGTTTTGGGGGAAAGGCCAGGTTGGACAGGGCTTGGAGCAGCCTGGGACAATGGAAGGAGCTCCTGCCCATGGCAGGGGTGGAATGGGATGAGCTTTAAGGTCCCTTCCAACCCAAACCATCCTGGGATTGTAAAATCCATGGAGGAGTTACAGTTCTACCTCCCCACCACGACCAAACCTCCCGGACTGTGCTGCAGCTGCTGTGTCCCGAATTCATTCCTGCCCATTCAGGATTTTAAGGATCCCTGTCTTGTCCCTGCCCAGCTGTGACACAGCCCCCTTATCCCCAGGGATAACAACTGCAGGCATTCCCATTTATTTATAATACCAGCAGTATTGGATCCTGCAGAACAAAGGGAAAATTATCCTTCCCTTCCATCCACCATCCTCCTCCAAAAGTTAATGACGTCAGAGTAGAATTTCAGCTTTGCCTGGTTCTTTTTCCTTTTGAATTCACCCATAAATGCCACAAAACTCTGCACGCAAGAGGGAGAGAAGGAAACCCAGTGGGACTTACTCTGTGTCGGCCAGAGTGGCTCTGACGCTGGCCCACACTGTGACAAACACAGCAGGGAGTCCTGCAAGAGAACACAGGGGACACGAGGTCAGCGGGCACCGAGGGCACCAAAATTCCAGGTGGAATGGGTTAGGGGAAGGTGGGAGGAGCAGCTTTTAATTATTCAGGCATGATTGAGGCTGAGCTTTCACATCTGAGAGCTGAACTGGTTCAGTTTGAGGGGCTCACAACAAAGAAATGGAGGGGCTGGAGCATGTCCAGGGAATGAAAAGGAGTTGGGAAGGATCTGGAAAACTGAAGGAGCTGGGAAGGGGTTCAACCTGGAGCAAAGGAGGCTCAAGGGGGACCTTGTGGCTCTGCACAGCTCCTGCCAGGAGGGCACAGCCAGGGGGATTTGGGATCTTATCCCAGGGAACAGGGACAGGAGCAGAGGGAACGGCCTCAGGCTGGGCCAGGGGAGGTTTGGGTTGGAAATTTGGAAAATTCCTTCCCCCAAAGGGGCTGTGACACACTGGGACTGCCCAGGGCAGGGGGGAGTCCCCATGCCTGAAGGGATTTAAATCGCTGTGGATGTGGCACTTGGGGACATGGTCAGGGGTGGCCTTGGCAGTGCTGGGAATGGTTGGACTCGATGCTCTCTGGGGCCTCAGAGTGCTGGAACATGAAAGGCTGAAACTGGCTTTGGCCAACTCATCCCATGGGTGATCCCATGGCTCTGCTCTGGAGCCAGGCTGGGAGAGCTGGGAATGTTCCCCTGGAGAGGAGAAGCTCCAGGGAGAGCTCAGAGCCCCTGGCAGGGCCTGGAGGGGCTCCAGGAGAGCTGGAGAGGGACTGGGTGTTGGAGATTTTTTCAGGGATGGCTTGGAAGGCAGCTGTGAGGAGCAGGTTCTCACAGCCTGTTTCTGTGAACAGCAGAGGTTCTCAGGTTGTTTTTAATTACAGGTAAAAGTGACAAACATGAAGGCCTTGAGAGCCTTGCACATCAGAGTTCTCAGGCAGCTTTCTCATAACAAGTGGATGTTCTATCTTTGGCTGTTTTGGGAAAGCAAGAATAATTTTGAGAACCCAAATCTTGGTATTGGAAACATAAGGAGGGGTTGGTGTGTTATCTCTGACCTGTTGTGAGCTCAGATTTTGCAATATGCATGAACTTGATTAACACTGTTATAAAAGGTGCCTGATTGATTAATAAATCGGAGTCGATGGCTGACCAACACAAGGTGGGTCGTCTCCCCTCCAACTTCAATAACTGGGGACAAGGATGGAGGGACAGGAAACAGGGAATGGCTCCCAGTGCCAGAGGGCAGGGATGGGTGGGAGATTGGGATTTGGGAATTCCTGGCTGGGATGGAATTCCCAGAGCAGCTGGGGCTGCCCTGGATCCCTGGAAGTGCCAGGCTAGACAGGGCTTGGAGCGCCCTGGGACAGTGGGAGGTGTTCCTGCCCATGGTAGAACATGGAATGGGATGATCCTCATGACCTCATCCAAACCAAACTATTCCATGATTCCATGATTCCAATGGTTTTTACGCAGCACACCTTCTCCAAGATATTTCCTCCCTTCCTTCACATCAAGGAAAGGTAGAGCAGGAGTCAGGCTCTGACAGTTTCTCCCAGAAAATCCCTGGATGGATTGGAAGCTCTGTTAAATATGAGAGAGCTGCTGCATGAAGCAGAGAAATGCTAAAATTTAGGGTTTTGCTTCCAAAATATCCAGCCAAAGGCTCATTCCCAAAGGAACCATCCTGATTTCAGCACAGCTACCCCCAGACCATCATCTTTTCCCTATGAAACGCAGAAAAAAATTCCCCAATATCCAAATGCAACTTTGTATTTATTTTTCTTTAGGGTCCAGTTATTTGTACAACCGAGTCCCCTACTGGCTTCCCTTAAAAAGCAGGATCCAATCCACAGTAGCTTCCACAAATTTGGGAAGAATGACCCCTTTCAGGTGGAGAAAAAAAAAATTATTAAAAAATAAATAAAGGCGACATTTATCAGCGGGGACTGTGAAGAGGCTGTTCCCAGTCTAAGCTCGCTGGGGCTCGGGGATAAGCCCAGGCTTAACTTTCAGCATGCACTTAAGTCTCATTAGGGTGCTTAAAGGTTTTCCTGACCACGGGGTGTGGAGCAGGGACGGCTGTGTCCCAAACCCAGGGACAACGGGGCCCTTATCCGGCCTGGGAGCTGGGAATGCCGAGGTAATATAAGAAAGCATAAATAATTAAACACAGAGCCTCACTCAGGCCCAGCGCTCCTACAAAGCCACATTTATAAGGAATTCACCCCGCTCCACAATTCCCTGTGCTGCTGGCGCTGGGAAGAAAATCCTTGACCTGTCGCACTGGGAACTTGGAGAGAGGGAAGTGAGGGCTCGGGGAAGGTGACAGGCACCAGCTCTTTCCTCCTCCCTGCCATCCACCCATTCCAGGCTCTGGAAAATCATCCAGGGTTTAAATGGATTGAATTTTTTTGGTGCTCTTTCAGTTTATATCCACTGAGGAGCTGCCATGTTGGAAGGCTGCCCATGGAATATTGGATATTCCCACTACAGCGAAGCTCTAAGTCTGAAGGATGGATTTTTTGGGAGATTTGGATATACTTGATAGGAATCTGTTCCTCTCTTGCCTGTCCTGAGCTTCAGAAGAGACACAATTCCCATTCTTGCTAATCCTGGGCTGACTTTGAGCTGCCAACCAACAATAAAACAGCNCCTTCTGGAGAGCCTGGAAGGGCCACAGTGAAAAACACCCCAATTCCAGAATGGTAACACCCCAATTCCAGAATGATATCATCACAATTCCAGAATGGTAACACCACAATTCCAGAATGATAACATCGCAATTCCAGAATGGTAACGCCACAATTCCAGAATAACGCCAAAATTCCAGAATGATAGCACCACAATTCCAGAATGGTAACACCTCAATTCCAGAATGGTAATGCCACAATTCCGAATGATAACACCCCAATTCCAGAATGGTAACACCACAATTCCAGAATGATAACATCACAATTCCAGAATGGTAACACCCCAATTCCAGAATAACGCCACAATTCCAGAATGATAACATCACAATTCCAGAATGATAGCACCACAATTCCAGAATGATAACATCACAATTCCAGAATGGTAACACCCCAATTCCAGAATGGTAACAGCCCCAATTCCAGAATGATAATGCCACAATTCCAGAATGGTAACACCACAATTCCAGAATGATAGCACCACAATTCCAGAATGGTAACGCCACAATTCCAGAATGATAACGCCACAATTCCAGAATGGTAACACCCCAATTCCAGAATGATAACACCACAATTCCAGAATGATAACACCCCAATTCCAGAATGGTAACACCCCAATTCCAGAATGGTAACGCCACAATTCCAGAATGATAACCCCACAATTCCAGAATGGTAACACCACAATTCCAGAATGGTAACGCCAAAATTTCAGAATGATAACACCACAATTCCAGAATGGTAACACCACAATTCCAGAATGATAACACCCCAATTCCAGAATGGTAACACCCCAATTCCAGAATGATAACGCCACAATTCCAGAATGATAACCCCACAATTCCAGAATGGTAACACCACAATTCCAGAATGGTAACGCCACAATTCCAGAATGGTAACATCACAATTCCAGAATGATAGTACCCCAATTCCAGAATGATAACATCGCAATTCCAGAATGATAGCACCACAATTCCAGAATGATAACACCACAATTCCAGAATGATAACGCCACAATTCCAGAATGATAACATCGCAATTCCAGAATGATAACGCCACAATTCCAGAATGGTAACGCCACAATTCCAGAATGGTAACGCCCAATTCCAGAATGGTAACACCCAATTCCAGAATGGTGGCAACACAATTCCAGAATGGTAACGCCACAATTCCAGAATGATAGCACCACAATTCCAGAATGATAACGCCCAATTCCAGAATGATAGCACCACAATTCCAGAATGGTAACACCCAATTCCAGAATGATAGCACCACAATTCCAGAATGGTAACGCCCCAATTCCAGAATGGTAAAGCCACAATTCCAGAATGATAAAAACTTCCCAGTGTTGGAATTTGAAATATAAGGAATTCTTAGCATNGATACACGGATGGATGTGCTCCCTGCCTCCAGCCCAGCCCCCACCGTGCCGTGAGCGACTTGTACAGAATCCACATTGTATGCGCTGTGCATTTCCAGCCACACACACAGTGTGTACAATGCAGGTGCTATAAAGTCAGGAATCTCCCCAGCAGCTGGAAAACGGGAAAGCTCTGCTGGCCACCCCACCCCACCCCCTCAAGGGCTTTTCCAGTGTCCGTGTCTCCCAGCAGTTTCATGCATGGAAACCCATGGAAAAATGGGTTTCATGCATGTGGAATGAGGGAGCGACTGCTGGAAGGGAATTTAGGAATAAAGACCTTGTGTAGGTCTGGGAATTCTGGTCTCAATTCCCTGGGATTTAAAAGCTTCTCTGAGGAACAATGCCTGTGTTTTATGAGTCCCTCTCTGTCCCTTTTTCCTGATGTTTAATGGGAATAACAAGAATACTTTTAAGGCCTCTGGTCCTGCTTGGTACATATTTTTCAGGGCAGGATTATTCCTGCTTGGATAAACACACAGGGCTCATCATCATCACGCATTTTTGGGGCACCTCCCACCATCCTTTTTATCTTTCCCAGGTGTCCCTGCAATCCCCAATTTGCTGAAATCCAGGGCAGCCCAGCCGTGTGTGCGGGAATTAACGTGGTGTGAAGGGAAAACGCCAATGGAATCAGCTTGGGTTTCCTGGCTATTGGTCATGGTTCCTGAACTTCCTTCAAAAAACAGCTGCAGGGAGCTGGGAGTCTCCCAAGGGATTTATTGTTGCCCATAATGTCATTATTTATTTATTTTGGGTGGGTGCTGGCATGGAATGAGTTCCTTTCCATCAGCAGGGTCTCCTTTGGAAGAAGGGAGTTGAGGACTTTGATGGAGTTTGTGCCAGTGAGGATGTGGATTGAAAATTCTGGACAGGAATCCACGGAGGTGACATCA